TCTCTACTAAAAAAAATACAAAAAACTAGCCAGGCGAGGTGGCGGGCACCTGTAGTCCCAGCTACTCGGGAGGCTGAGGCAGGAGAATGGCGTAAACTCAGGAGGCGGAGCTTGCAGTGAGCTGAGATCCGGCCACTGCACTCCAGCCTGGGCCACAGAGCGAGACTCCGTCTCACAAAAAACAAAACAAAAAAAAAAACAAAAAAATAAATTTGAGTCAATAAAACCAGAATTGACTACAGGTGTCACTACCATAAGACAGAAAGCATCTTATTGCACTGCAGTTCTATGTTTACTAAAACATTTGGTTATTTATGTTAATTTTCTCAATGACTATATGAGGTAGCTTTCTTTCCTATCTGTGCTAACCTATTGGGAGGCTGAGGCAGAGAATTGCTTGAACCCAGGAAGCAGAGGTTGCGGTGAGCCACCGGGCCTGGCCCAGTGATGACTCTTATCTTAACGACTCCATCAGAACTCTGTCAGTTAATAAACGTGTTGCTCAGTTAGTGACGAGAAATAACTGTATGTTAGTGGTTAAGAGGCCCCATAATTGCAACATTTAATATCTGCTGTTGTTCCTAATACCCAGGCTGACTCAGACTGAGGAGCCCTCCAAGTTCCACTGTCTAATAAAGACCTGTCAAAGTGAAAACTCAACAGTGGAGACTCCAGAATGCATTCAACCGTTGTACCTGCTTTACATACATAAATAAACAGAACTGATTTTTGGGTTATTTGCCACAAGAAGATGCCTGAAAACAAGGCATCAAATGGTTTTGGAAAAAATACTCCTCTTTACAGTTAAGTTTAAATTAGATCAAGAATGCTACTTACAAAGATGTTCTGAATTAGTACAGGATCTCCTGATTCATCATACTGAACTTTTCAACCCTGTTAAGTATCAAAACTGCAGCACAAAATCAGCCAACATGCGAACTAAGGACAAAAGACAGTTCATAGGTCTTTGGAGATCATGGTTATAAAATCACGTGCCTGAGGACCACTAAGTCTGAGGTACACACCAAATAATGCAGCTCAAAGTAAGCAGAAAGCACTGTTCCGTGCTCAACCCACCCCCACCAACCATCCAAAGTCCATGCTGGTGCCCAGGACCCGTGAGTCCTTATCATTAAATATCCCCGCCCCAATTCCTCCCCAACTGAGGAAATCACAGACTCCTTGACCCCAAGAATCTTAACTCTGGTCTTCATCATACATGTCTCCAGAAACCTTAACACCGGCTTTTTCAGGCGCCCACCACCTAAAACAAAGTTCATAACATCCTGAGGGCAGTTTCCTTCAGGGCTTAGGCTCTCAACCACGCCCTCCCACCAGGCAGGCCTGTCTCCCTCCTGCCTGCCCCTATGGAAGGAAAGCTCCCCCTCCTTTTGGTCACTCTGCCTGGCCACTCTACTCACAGGATAGCGATGTCGGGGGGCAGCAGGCCCGACAGCGCCCTCCAGCTCGGTGCGGGCAGTTTCCTGCGACTGCAGTCCAGGAGAGGAATGCGGCAGGAGCAGGGCGCGGGGCAGAGACCTGCTCCGGCGGCGGGCAACAGGAGGAGAGAGCTCTGGGCAAGGAAGAGTAACCGGGAAAGCAATCCAGATCGACACCCCAGCAACTGATCCTCCGGGATGCCTAGGGGCGCGGGCGCCATTTTCCCCCTCGACCTGGACCTGGCCTAGATGAGCTGCCTGCTAGAAAAGGAGGATCGGCGGAGAAGCTCAGCAGAGATGCTCAGCGGCTGCACTGTCTCCCCAAGCCCCGGCTGAGGGCTGTACCATCTAAAGGCATGCAAGGAGCAGATGCAGCGCGACAGCGGGGGCGACTGCCTGGGACACACCGCTGAGGCCTGACGGGGCTTCTCTGCCCCGCCCCACGACGCTGCGCCCTCACGCACAGGGGTCAGCCAATCGGTGCCATAAGACGAGGTTGCGTCCGGGGCGGAACTGAGTGAGGGGCGGGGCCAGACGCAGCGGAGATTCTTTAGGAGGAGGACTTTAAGGTGTTCAGGGACTTTAGGTGTCGCTGTGGAATTCCGCCGCTGTTCTTCCGCTGCAGGGCGCAGTAGTTCCTTAAGAGGGAATGGTGCGGCAAATCGCTGTGAGTTCAAAGTCCTGACTGCAGGTCTATCTACTGTAGTTGTAGAAAAGAATCTTTTATTTGCCCTGGGCTTTAAGAAAGCGGAGTGGCAGAAGGGCTACCTTCCAAGTCGCAGACACGAATGAGTCACGGGAGTTTCTATCCTGGCTTTGGCCAGCTCGTCCTCCAGAGCCGAGCTCGAGTCTCTTCTGCCCTCTGCTGCTTGACTGTAGCCCCTGCTCTTCTGCAAGTAGGCGGCAACTCCCACCTGCATGTGATCAGTATCACTCTGTTAATGGCCGTGTAAGCTCCTGAAAACAGAGGCTCCGTTTCTTCATCGGTGCGCCTCCACCTTTTGATCTAGCTTGGAGTTCAATAAATTTTGGTGGGACTGCACCTGCTTGTCTATACAAGGGAAACACCCTTCTGTTTGGAGGGATGCTGTCATGGTCACTCTCAGAAAAGCAAGCGAGACAAGTAAAGAGGGTGTTGAGCAGTCAACAAAGCAAAGACTGGATGTGAGGAAATTTATTTCTCCTAAAGCAGAGGCTATGGAAAACTTACTAGGAACAGTGAAGTCTGACCACCTTATGCTCATTCAGCCATCCAAGGTTGTAAATAAGACTTTGAGAATAATAGTAATGGTTCACTTATATGTAGGGAACTTTTCAAAGGGCATTTGCTCTGTTACCTTGTTTGCTCCTTCAATGACAGTGACATTGGCAAGACAATTATTGCTGATGATGAAACAAGCCCAAAGAGATTAAACCAGGTTACTCTGAGGCAGGGGCAGGTTCGACATTAACATGGGTTTTCTGACATAAATTGAAAATCTGAGCAGGTTAAAAAGAATGATAATGCCTAGATTAGGGTTCTCTTAGAAAGTAACTGAAAGCAATCTTTGCCATGGCAGATTATGGAGTCATAATTATGTTTTTAAAAACCTTTTTCTGTTTTTTTTTTTAAATATTGAAGTATCTATTGGAAACAAGGCCATATCCAATGCTCCAGCCCAAACCAAACATTTAAAGCCAAGACAGCAGAATGAAACGTACTCTTAGCCTCCTTCCCTTAGCTTTTGAGCAGACTTAACAAACTCTGGTAAGAAATCCAGCACAGGCAGGAACCCCACCAAAAAAAAAAAAAAAAAGGAGGCAGTTTAGTTCCTTTCTGCATTATAGTTTCAGAGCTTTCCTATGAAACTATACCAAATGGGGCCATTAGAAATTAATGCTCTCTAGCCTGTATCCTCCCCAATAAGTGGTTCACTGCAACCTCTGCCTCCCGGATTAAGCGATTCTCCTGCCTCAGCCTCACAAGTAGCTACGACTATAGGTGTGCACCACCATGCCCGGCTAATTTTTGTATTTTTAGTAGAGACAGGGTTTCACCATGTTGGCCATGCTGGTCTCAAACTCCTGACCTCAGGTAATCCACCCACCTCAGCCTCTCAAAGTGTGGAATTACAGGCATGAGCCACCCTGATTGCCCACAGATACATGTTTTTGTTGGGATTTTTTTTTTTTTTTTTAAGACGAAGTTTTGCTCTTGTTACCCAGGATGGAGTGTAGTGGCATGATCTTGGCTCATCACAACCTCTGCTCCTGGGTTCAAGCGATTCTCCTGCCTCAGCCTTCTGAGTAACTGGCATTACAGTCATGCGCCACCATGCCCGGCTAGTTTTGTATTTTTAGTAGAGATGGGATTTCTCCATGCTGGTCAGCTGGTCTTGAACTCCTGACCTCAGGTCATCCGCCTGCCTCAGCCTCCCAAAGTGCTGGGATTACAGGTGTGAGCCACCGCTCCCAGACACAAATACATGTCTTTTACAGAATTTAGTGATTCATTTCTGATTAACAATGGAATATAGGGTTTTTATATTCATTGCCCTCAATTGTCTAATTAATCTGTGGGTGCTAAGGTACCTGGGCCGAGATTTTAGAGTTCAGTGGAATCCATAAGCACAGTATACCCCAACTCCAGATTACTAAAAAAAAAACCAAAAAACTACTCACTTGATATCCCTTGTTCCACACCTTAGCATAAACACCAATCCCTTACAATTTAGCTGCCCTATATCTCCTTACCTCAGGACTTTACTCTTTGCAAAGTCATAGCTAACTAACCTTATCAGTTCTATTCTGTCAAACTAGAAGTCTCAGGATTGCCTGTGCTTTCCTCCCATTCTTTCCTGTCACATCCAGTCACTAGACTCTCTTGATTCCCCCTCAGGAATGTCTCAGATCTTTCCCCAGCTCTCCATCCCCACTGCTACTTAGTTCAGACCTTCATCTCATATGACTAGTATTCTAATAACCTTTGAACCCATGTCCTGTCCTCCAGTCTCTCCTGTCTCCAAGTCTCTAAGCTGTCACTAGAATTATCTTTCCAAAGCATACTGTTACAGGTATGTTTTGTCATTTTATATCTCCATTGCTAAGAGCAGTGTCTGGAATATAAGCAACACTGAATAAATATTTATTGTTGACTAAATTACTGTTAATTTGGCTGGGTGCAGTGGCTCATGCCTATAATCCCAGCAATTTTGGAGGCCAAGGCATGCAGATTACTTGAAGTCAGGAGTTCGAGACAAGCCTGGCTAATACGGCAAAATCCTGTCTTTACTAAAAATACAAAAATTAGACTTGGTGCTGCACGCCTGTAATCCCAGCTACTGGGGAGACTGACGCACGAGGATTGCTTGAACCTGGGAGGCGGAGGTTGCAGTGAGCCGAGACTGCACCATTGCACTCCAGCATGGGCAACAGAGCAAGATTCCATCTCAAAA